GCAAACTACATACAGCTGAAGTCTATCTGACTACCAAAATGAACAGAACAGAAGCATGGGAGGTGGCACGTATCCATAAAAACACTACTTTCTGTGCAATGAATGATCTTTCACACACAAAACTATCGCTCGCTTGCTCTCGTTCTGGCTGACCTGTTGTCTGGGCCACTTTGATCAGCCCTCTGTGGAACATGTTCTTAAGATGAGACTTCAGATAGAAATTCTTGGCTCCTCCGGTCACTGAGATCAGTAGATTGGGAGGGGACAGTTTCCATTGTTCAGTCAATAACTGGTACAGGATCTCAGGGCTGGTGTCTGTGGACACTCGGGCGTACTGACAGTGGACATGTACACACAGATTTAAAGGATGGCATAAAGACTTGCAGATGTGCATTTACACAGTAACATTATATAATGTAGAGTAAGGACTGGCTCACCTTGCCTGTCTTTTGTCCCAAACCACCAAAGCTGATGTCTCCAAAAGCGTCAGTGGGCGCTTCGCGGACATGTCTGTGTATGTTCCACGACTCGCCTGTGAAGTCTTCTGGCTTGATGGCTTCGTCCGTATGATCAGTTTTTGCGTAGCCACACTTACACACATCCCCACTACAGAAACAGTAGAGAAACAGAAGCTGATGTTTAAGATTTTAAAAAGTATAAATACATTAATTCTTCTTCACCTGCTTTGCAGATATCCAGTAGCTTTAATTAAAAAGCTAATTTATTTAGAAATGCCCATTTTTTTTAGTGTTCAAAGTTTGTTTTGCATTCTGTATTTTATTTAGCTGAAAACTGCATTATCATGTAACTGTCCCCACAGCACCACTCTATTACAGCAACAACAAGAAGGTCAGTCCTAAGTCAATCCTCATCCATTCAGCATAGTGCAGAGCAGCCCAGCTTACCTTCCATCTTTTTCAAAAAAGCAACATTCCTTCTTGCAAATGTTTTCCTTGATCCAGGAGGCGAGAGCAAGGCGCTGGAACGAAGGGGACAGAAAAAGGTGTTTAGAGGGTCTGGCTGTGTTAACCGCCAGAGTATGAACTAGCCGTGACTCCAAGCCAGCTTCCGACATCCTGGCGCAACATGGGGGATTGTGTTGATGAGCTCGAGCTTAAGATGAGGTCTGCCAGAGTGGCAGGAGAGAGGAGGCTCTGCAGCGACCGCTTTGGGTGCTCGACATTGCAACAGTGATGTCAGAGCTGTGTTGCTGCTGAGCAAGCTGCACGAACCTAATACTTACTGTAGAGGACAGGTAGCAGTCGGGCAGCGGTTGTGGATCAACACATAAATGCGTTAATGAGTGAGTTAATTACACTCAGGTTTCTTAATGAAGGCATAAAAGAGCAATGATTTTTAAGGAACTAGCACAATTTAAAAATAATTCTTATCATCATAGCCGAACTATTATACTTGTGAACAAAACATGAAAGACAGTTTAGGTTTAACATAACATGAAATAGTAGAAAACAAAGCACATTTATTCAGTTACTGTACTCTACTTTGCTCACACATTTTAATTAAGTATCTTGATTTCATGATGTCTGGCTTCTCCTCCACTCTATACAGCACTTTTCATCACAGGAGCTATTTGCCAGCTACACTTTGTAGATTAATATTGTATATATGAAACTCATCATAGGTTAATGTAATATAAGTCATTACATGAATACTTTTGGTTTTGATATATTACCCCATTTATAGTGAAGTTTAGAAAACAGTACTTTTAATATGGACATGATATAGTTACAATGCCAGTTTTCTTAACCCTAATCCTGTGTGAAAAATAAAAGCTTGTGACAGATAAACACCCACCTTATACGAAGCAGAAACCCGTGCTTGATTTATTCCATGTGTTTTTTGCTGCTGCAGCTGCTGAGTCACTTGCTGTGGGTGAACCTTGCTCTCAAATTTAGGTAGCATATCTGAAAGCGCATTAAAAAGAAAAGCTTGCTGTGTAAAAGATTTCTTGAAGAGCTAGCGTCCAAAAACAACAACAAGAAATAATTTGCAGCTAGTTACACACAGATAACACAACATGTTTAAGCCCACACTGACCAACTGTTTCAGACATCATCAACAAAGCCTTCAAGACGCCTCACATGAGAGAGTGAGAGGCTGCGTGACTTTATTACATCACACTATTAAACTGGCTCCTCCCTCAGAAAACAATATAAACCACCAAGTGATTTCACTAGATAATATAATCTGCTATCTAGCCAGGCTACTCACGGTTAAATAGCCTGAGATATACCCTCACTGGCCACTTCATAAGGTACACCTTGCTAGTACTGGGTTGGACCCCTTTTGTCTTTCAAGATTTCTGGTCCACGTTAAGTTGATAGCATCACGCAGCTGCTGTAGTTGGCTGCACATGAATGATGTGAATCTCCCATTTCACCACATACTAAAGGTGCTCTATTGGATTGAGATCTTGTGACTGTGGATGCTTTTTGATTAAGGTGAACTCAGTGTCATATTCAAGAAACCAGTTTGAGATGATTTGAGCTTGTGACATAATGCATTATCCTGCTGGAAGCAGCCATCAGAATCTGGGTACACCGCAATCAAAGGGATGGACATGGTCAGCTGTAGTGTTTAAGCAGTGGTCAGTTGGTAATGAGGCGCCCAAAGTGTAACAAGATCTCCCACCACCATCAATCAATCCAAAGCATAGCTGCAAAGCGTCCATGCAATGTTGTTAACGCTAAATTCTGACTCCAACATCCGAATGTTGCAGCAGAGACATTTTTCCAAGCTTCTATTGTCCAATTTTGGTGAGCATGTAAGAATTGTAGCCTCAATTTCCATTTCATCGCTGACAGGAGGGGCACCCAGCGTGGTCTTCTGCTGCTGTAGTCCATCTGAGCTGTGCACTCAGAGAAGCTCCTGTACATACTTTGGTTGTAACGAGTAGTTATTTGAATTATTTGTGTTACTGCTTTCTGCCCATCAGCTTGAAACAGTCTGGCTATTCTCCTGATGAACAGGTGTACCTAATGAACCAGACGATGAGTGTATATTCAAAAATGTGAGTTCAACACGCTGAAAACACCTTATGAGATCAGACTCACCAATTATGTAACATACCTATACACATTTTAGTATCATATATAAGAAAGATTTGCAGAATCATTTGTGCGTGCGTGCACACACACACACACACCAACACACACACACACACACACACACTTACCTCCTAGATCCTCCTTTCATTTAAAAATACAACAAGAAGGACATGAAATCACTTCTTGGGACTTCTTTGAATGTCGCACATTCCCAGGTTTATGAAAACGGTGTGTTTTATGTGGTATGGCACTAGTTGCCAGGTAACACAGATAGGATCAAGTTACTGAACTGAGCACTGGTTCACTATCAGGAGATAAATATACTGCGGTTATTGCGGCAAGTAATCAAATTTAAGTTTCTGTTACATATTTTGACACAAAGTTTGTAATCAGTGCTGATCCACTATAAATGTAATGATTGTCCGGTGTCTGTTCTATGATTGGCCTCCAGTAAGGTCATGTTTTTGGCAGAGTTTGCATGCGTAATCTGTAAACATGATAGCACAAAGAGTTTTGAATGAATTATTCTAAAACCTATTAGGGGTGTAGAGTGAGATCATGTAAACAGTCCATTAAAATTTGACCTCCATGCCCTAAGGTCTCCAAGATCAACTTAATGATTTATTGGTCAACAACTGACAAAAAACTAACTAAATGTGGTATTTATTGTCAACACACAGACGTCAGGGTAAAATCTGAAAATGTGATCTTAGAACTGGAGTTTATGTTGCACAGCATGGCCTTTGTCTTTGTAACCAGGATTGGGAGCAGCTCTACCTGCAGGTGTAGGAACAAGACAAAAGTGGACACTCTGAAGTGAAGGGCTCATGATTTCAGTTGTCATTTGAGAAAGAAATAAGGCAGGTCTCAGTACTGTAAGCACAACTCCAGTATGGCACTTCCATAAGTTTAAATGGTTTTGTTCGGCGTCACTCATTTCGTTTTACCAGTTTTACCAGACTGTCAAAGCAGACAAAGACAGAAATCAGGACATAAAGACACTGGTTTCATTCGAAGAATAATTAATCTTTGACAGACTGAAGTTGTTGTCAGAGGGTCTTTTACATCTTGGTGAAAGCAGAGCAGCTCGTCTTTCTCAGTCCAGTCATGACCACCCTATTATTTTCCCCAGTACAAACTAAGGCCTCCTCAGTTCAATTCATTGGCTTTGTTTTAATGTCAATTCATGATTATTATGCCAGGTCACAAAGGCAGCAGCCTAGGCAAAGAAACCCAGACTCACCCATTAGAAGGTTTCTCCCTGTTAAAGGGAGATTTTCTTTTCCACTCTCGCCAAGTGGCTGCTCATAGAGGGCCGTCTGATTGTTGATGTTTTCTCTGTATTTTTGTTTCTGCTTATTGTTTTTGCCAGGCAACAAGTAGGAAATATCAGAGTTAATAAGAAGGGAAACAACTACTGCTGCTTAGCTGTTCTACTTTGAAAATGATAAGACTCTGGACTCAAAGGCAAATGTTTCCTTTAAAGCATGAATACCAGGAATATATTGTAACTTGGTCTTTAACAGCAAGAGACTATCTTGTGCTTCTTGATCTTTATTGGTTGCTGGCAACACAACCACAGACAGTATATAAAATATGGATGTAGGTTCTGAAATGTAAAGCCAACATACAAGTGCCTTAAAGTTGGATTCTTCTAATGGTTACCAGTGAAATGTGTGAATTCATCAGGAAGGAAGGACATTCTGTCCAAAGAGAGCAGAAAACCTACAGAGCTCTGTCACTCTCTGGTGGTCGACAGGGGAGATAACTACACTGTGAGCTTTATCACGCTCAATGCTGTGCAGAGCATTAACCAAGTTTTTATCAAGATGGCAAAAAGAGGAGTTAAACCTATTAACCTATTTCAGTATGAGTCCTCTGTGGATGAAGAACAGAATGCGCTGTTTACACTTCAGTTACAAACGGCACTAAAATTAGGAGAGCTCTGTCGGTCTCTACTGGAAAAGCGAGGCAAGTGCCGGCTTTAACTCTGAGCTGTGAACACACGGTTGTATTTTCATTAGAACTTTTTCAAATAATGTAACTGTAATTTAAAATTTCTTTTTTTGTTATTTCTACAGTAAAGTTCATGCTTTGGCCACTTTTCTGTGCCATAATTTGGTTTTCTTAGAACAATCACACTCATAAGTGGAAAAAAGTGTTCTTTCTCCACGTTTCTCACATCAAAATAAACCAGACTTTCAAAATTTACTGACATCAGTTGTGCATGCATTGTTTTGTTTTGAAAAATATCCACACAAAGCAAAAAGGGCACATTATTTGTTCGCTGCAAATAATTCATTAATTAAATAAAGCTCATTAATTTGAACTTTGAACTAAGTACCCTGAAAACGCAGTCGTCTCATAAAGAAATACCTATTATATTAACTTTGAACATAATAAGGGGTGGATGCACCGTTCTTGGAAGTACTGCAATACCAAGTCGATGCGTGGAGTGGACGGAGCAAGCCCCTATTCCATCTCCCTGCTCCAAAAATCAATTTAATATATGGTCCCCGGATAGGGGACGTATCAGATATTAAACTGATAAGAACAGATACTACACTTGATCTTAGCCAAAAGGCCGAGAAGCGATATCGAATAAGGCTCGGAGGAAACGGCCTGGTTCCCAGCGCCGTCTCTCTGACTCATGGTTTGGAAGCTGAACTGCTGATATTTTGTACTGAATTATGACACAAACAAGAGCAACCAGGTTCCCTCACACGTCTGATATCGCTGGGTTTGTGTTGCGGTAAACTAAACTTGCGGGCATTTATAACACAAAAGTTATTGCGGCTTCCTGGACACGTGACACGCTTTGATCCAATAGAAGGACCAACACAAATATCACAAATATTTCCACTACATACACGCTAATTATAAATACACACAATTTATTTGTCCATTTATAAAGTCTTTAAACTTTACTCAATGAAGCGGAGTGAAACCTGGAATGAATAAGGTGTTTTACAGATCGACTCATAATAAATATACGTCTTGTAGAGCCCCCTAGGGAAGGGGAGGGTAAACTGCACCACACTCAGAAACTGGTCTAGCAAGACTCAGGAGCTGGCCGGACTGAATTAAATGACACGGTCCTGGCTCAAGGTCTTCGTATTTACAGATAAATTTACAAATTTATTTACAAATAAATAAATGAATGAAATGCGGTTTAAATTATAACACTGAGAAGAGTCCAGTTGACCGACGGTGACAGATATGAGAGCCAAAACAGAATTAAAGCGGGGGCAATGAACTGAACAGCTCTCTCTCAGTCAATGTGGGAATAAACAGTTCTGTCTATGAAGAAGTCAGTAACGAATACTGGAAGCTGTGCGGCCACCTCACCTTGACGAAAATTTCGTGTATGAGTACGTGTCAGTTTACCTGAAGAGTTTCTGAAGAGTAGCTAGTTAGCTAGCTAAATTGACCAGACAACTGTGGACAGGAATTTCCGGCCCGGTAAAACTTGCTGTCAAAACTGCAGTCAATAAAATCAAAATTATCTCAAAAAAAGCAAACTTGAAATTTCGAGTTCTTAAGTTAGTTTTCTGAGATAACCCACCCTTTTTTATTATTATTGTTTTGTATTATTATTATGATATCACAGAGACAGAAACAAGCTTCCACAGACAACAAAAACCTAGCTCCTTGCCCTACTATTATCTAAACATTTAAAATGATAAGAGCCATATTAACTGCTGCTGTTTATGTCTTCGGCCATTTGAAGGTCACATGTTTCTAACGGTCATGCAAAGGTTGTAAGTCGTGAGAGCGTTTGCATTGGTATGCAAGAAGCGCACAGTTTTTGACTTCATGACTAAAGCCCGTTAATTTTGCATTTATTTTTTGAAAAATATTTGTTCATAAACAAGAGAGAAAATCGATTTAAGAGACTAAATAAATAAAATAAAAAAATCAATCAACAACATGTCATATTACAATAACTCTTAAACAGAACTTAATAAATAATTTAAAAACTATCTCCAAAAGTTGATTTTGTTCATCTGGACGGAGCGTTTAG